TGAGGATTGACCCCCCTTTTTTGCAACGATGATGCCACTGAAAATAAATTCACTCAAACACACACGAACCCATGGGGGGATATTTTAACGCAAGCGCTCTATAAGGCTAAAACGTCACTGTTCGGTTGTGTGTAATTTTCTGTTTGTTTATTTTTAACAGCTCACATGCTTTACAAATGCGAAAACAAGCAAAACACAAACGTTTCTCTCGTTGTTTTTACAAGAGCAATGCCGACGACGACAACGACAACGAAGACGTTGATTAGAGAATGACGTAATGGAATTATGCATCGACACACACAGAACTGACCATATAAACAGTCAAGCAGGAGCGCTATGAGGTAGGAGGGTAAGCACACACAGAGTGTAATTTGCTCATTGCACCTAGTTATTGGCCATAAAAATTTGACGAGCAGTGTTGCCATGTTGATGTTATTACCTATGAAAGTCAAATGGTAAGGTGGTATAAAAATGTTTGAAATTTTGATCCGTAGATGTTAGATAAGATTGAGTTTTTGAAAATTCGTACTAGAACGGTACGAAAAGTACTAAAAGGTACTAAATATGGTATCCTTTGTATTTGACGAACCAGAAGAGCTGAAACTCTTAAATTTGGAATGAGGATCACATACTGGAGTGTATGATGGAGGTACCAAAGGGGTTTTGGAAATTCGCACTATAAGTGTACGAAAAGTACTAAAATGTTCTACATTTGGTATTATTTCGTATTATGTGAACGGTTAGAGCCAAAAACATAAAATTTTGAATGGGAATCAAGATAGAGGGGTAGAGTTGATGTAAGGAGGTAGTTTTGGAACTGTGTAGTCATGACCACGAAAAGTACTAAACGGTACTAAATTTAGTACAACTTCAATTTGGAGGAGCTGGAATCCCGAAATTTAAAATTAACATTATTGACGGAGTGTATGATTGGTATATGGAGGCATTTTCAAAATTTGTACATATGTGCACGATAAGTACTAAATGGTACTAAATTTGGTACAAATTCTATTTGCGTGAACCGATAGAGCTGGAATGCTGAAATTTGAAAATAAAATTATTATTGCATTCTAGAACTATAGTATGTAGGTAATTTTGGAGTCGTACTTATGTGCACTAAATGATACTTAATTTGGTACAATTTAAATTTTGGGAGAACCGGTAGAGTTGGAATCCTGAAATTTGGAAAACAGATAACTGTTGTACTGGAGGATTAGAGTATGTGAGAAATTTTGAGAATTCGTACCATTGTGTACTAAGTGGTACTACATTTGGTACAATTTAGACTTGGGTGAACCGATAGGGATGGAGTCTTGAAATTGGAAAATAAGGAAAATGGATTGTATGATGCAGGTTCTTCTGAAAACTTGTACTTATGTGTACTAAATTTGGTGCAAATTCAAATTGTGGTGCACCTATAGAACTGGAATTCTGAAATTTGGAATTAACATTTCTATGCGAATATATGATTGAGGTGTTGTTGTAGTTTTGAAAATTTAGAGTGGAGGATTAACGTATGTCGGAATAGTGCCGATTTTTTATTGTAGCGGAAGGTATTTCACCACAATATTTCCTTATGGCCCAAGCTATATTGAGGAAAACCGATTTTACCATAACTCAAATTATACCATTTTTGCGTTTTACATCCCTCCACCATACATAGTATGAAGGATATATTAGGTTTGTCTTTACGTTTGTAACACCTCAAAATATACAATGTAGGTTCTAGAAAGTATATAAATTCTGGATCAGTATAAAATCCTATGTCGACTTAGCCATGTCCATCCGTCTGTTCACCTATCAGTCTTTGGAAATAAAGATGGTTAACAAAATTGTACTCATATATATTTTAGCTCCGCAGGATTCTTGCCATTGCAAATTGCTCCCACATAACTGTATTGGAAGATTAGAGGGGTTATAGGGCCTATTCTCACAGTTTGAAACTGAATTTGTTGTAAATTTGCCAGATTGTGTCTTCAGCATATGGAGAACAATTTTCACCGGAATTATCTCAAATTTACTATTTGGAGTACCTCCACGGCTATAGATCCCATTTTTGACTTATGTCAAATTTTTCGATGGAATTGTTTCAAAATTGGTATTTGGAGTTCACAAGGCTTCCAAATAAAAGAAAATTACCTATTAGTGTCCACATCCATATGGTGGTAACTTTCGATATTTGGCATTTTCCGATCTTCCTCACATTTTTCAACGGAATTTTCTCAAAGCTGCTATGTAAAGTACGCTATATTCCTTCTCTGGCAGAAAGCTTTTCTTTAGCCCTCATATAATTATAACATCCGATATTCGGTATTATTATAATTTTTTCAACGGAAAATTCCTTCCAAATGGTGGAGGGTATTTAAAGTTTAGCCCGGCCGAACTTGACAGTTTTTACTTGTTTCTATACCCTCATTCATATGGCTAGACAGGGTATATATCATTTGAGAGGGCCAAAACGATATAACGGTATTAGCATATTATGCATGTGAGGAACTTTAACACCAAATCGGATGAAACAAATATATGGGAACTATAGATATATCTGAACCGATTTTTAAATTTGAAGTACATGTCTCTGGGCTGAATTCGGTCGGAAGTGCCACAATTCATTTCATTTGTGGGAGCTATATCCTAATCCAATCCAGCCCCGATAAAATTTGACAGAGGTATTTTTGAGCTAAGTTATCTATAGCAATATCTGAATCGATTTTCTCCAAATTTGATGTACTTGCTTCCAGAATTAATTCCGTCAGATGTGTCAAAATTCAAATCATTTGGACTGATAGTGGCCATTTGGTGCACAATTAATCCGAAATCGGTTGAAGATATATATGGGAGCTATATCTAAATTTGAAGCGATTCTCACCAATAGGATTCGTCTTTGGACCAAACAATTATTGTTTGGAAAATTTCATCTCAATCGGATAATAAATGCAGCCTGCATTTTGTTCACAAAAATACATGGACAGAGGAAGGACGGACAGACGAACTGACACGAATAACGACTTTGAAGATCCTCAAAAGTAACTATGAGTCTATCTCGCTTCCTTCTCCATGTTACAAACAAATGTACAAATACATAATACCCTTACCACTATGTGGTGTAGGGTATATATACTATGAGATATGGCCAACATCATCAAGGGATTGAAATTTTTTTTGTCCTAAGATTTTAGACCAATCAAAATACATTCACGAAAAAGGCTAGGTTTGAGTCTGTTTTTTTTTTTTTTTTTTTGTAAAATTTTCAAATAGTTTAGATTAATTCTACAACCAGATTGGGACATTCACATTTATGGCCTTTTTTATACCCTCCACCATATATAGTATGGAGGGTATATTAAGTTCGTCATTCCGTTTGTAACTTATCGAAATAATAATTTTAGACCCAACAAAGTATACATATTCTTGATCAGCGTAAAATTCTAAGACGATTTAGCCATGTCCGTCCGTCTGTTGTAATCACGCTACAGTCAAAACGAATTAAGAGAGGGAGCTAAACTTTTGCACAGATCTGTCTTTTGTCTGCAGGCAGGTTAAGTTCGAAGATGGGCTATATCGGTCCACGATATCGTATAGCCCCCATATAACGGTACCCCCGACATTCGGTATTTTGATGAGATTAGCCACATTTTTTAATGGAATTGTCTGAAATTCCACACAAGAAGTCCCTTCTGAGTACTTTGCCCCCTGAATGAGAATTGTCTATATAGGTCCACGATATCGTATATCCCTCATAGAACGGTACCCCCGATATTCGGAATTTTGATGATTTTAGCCACATTTTTCAACGGAATTGTCTGAAAAACCACACAAGGAGTTCCTTGTGAGTACTTTTCCCCCTGAAAGAGAATTGCTTATATAGGTCCACAATATCGTATATTCCTCTAATATATCGGCACCTTACGATATTCGGTATTTTGATGATTTTAGCCACATTTTTCAACGGAATTGCCTGAAATTCTACACAAGGAGTTCTTTGTGAGCACTTTACCCCCTGACAGAAAATTATCTTTACAGGTTAATATATATCGTCTATCCCTCATATATCGGCACCTTCCGATATTAGGTATATTTAAGATTTTAACTGAATATTTTAAGGATTTTATTTTTTTGAAAAATGTTTAATGCGTTTCAAAGTTCAGCCGGGCCGAACTTACTGCTTTTTAACTAATTTAATTTTTACTAGGGTAAACGAATTTCCCTTTGTGATATCGAAAAAAAATTCAAAAATAGTTGATCCTTGTAGATTCTGGATCAAAGCAATTATTTTATTAAGAAAAAATATTTGGTTTGTAAGAAATCTGAAATTTGCAAGGGCAACTCTACTCACAAGTCGTAGTAATCAATGTTTTTTTTTAGTTTGTCCCGATAGAGAGTGAGAGTGTTTATAACGGAGAATATTGTAAAATTTATTTGTTGGTGTTTTGTCTCTCAAAGCTTTTTTCAAATGCAATTCATTGGGGGCCACAACTACAGGAGAGTACAATGCAAATAGCAAGAATGGTTGTTCTCTCTTGCTCTCTCGCTCCCTATTAGGGGACTTTTGGTCATGCACTCAGACAAGAAGATATCATCAATGGTGTCCACACACACACACAGCAGTTTTTGGAATCCCATCAAGGAATAGCCAGGCATAACCATCATCGTTGTTATCGTCATTGTTTGTTGGACTCATCATCCTACCAACCAACCTGCCACCACTGCGGCCACTGTTGCCGTCACCATCACTCTCATCATCACCGACATCATTAATCCTCCTCCTCATGCAAAGGCACGGAACTTTGAAAATCGTCATTGTTGTCGTTGTCGTCGTCGTTTCAATTCGTTTGGCAAAAGCAATGCGCCGCATCGTGTGCTTGCCTGGCTGGGTGGCTGGTCGACTGGCTGGTTGTATGTGTGAATGAAACCAAAATCAAAAACACACCGCCAGCCAAACGGTAAAGTGAATATAGTCGCGTGTAACCGTAAATATAAGTTCAGTCGCGTCACAGACGCCGCGTTGTTAACACATACCGTTAGATGAGCACAAAACATTTTGAAAACAATACAAAACTAAATAATAATAATAACAACAAAATAATAAACTAAATTATTATAGATTTGAAATATTAAATAATTTTTACTTTTTCCGCTGCAAAAAAAAAAAACGGAAGAAGAACAAGAATAAAAACCGAAATATAAAACCGGAAGTGTGCAAACAAAAATTTAAAGTTTTTTCTGTTACAAAAAAAAATTCCCAGCTTGGCTTGTTAAGAACTGTTCTAACGCGTGTGTGTAAAAGAGTACCGAACCGAACGTATGAGTGATATTATTTGGTGTGGAATCTGAATTCCACATTACGGCTCAAAACATATCATTAAATAAAGGCAATTTTTGTGTTTTTAGAAAAAACGAAAGTAAAACAAGTGCTTGAAGCAAAACAAAAAAAAAACAGAATATTTATAAAAAAAAAAACAAATTCTTACAGAAAGGCAATCGGATACTTGCAAGCTTTTTAGTGCAACCTGAACTCCTTGAAGAAAAAAAATCGTAAATTTTGCAAAACACGATAATATTGCAATTTTGTTGCTGCTCTAGTAATGCTTTTAGTTCAGCTGTGGAAATAACTGCAGTTTTTTGGAATACCTAAGGAAACAATAAGAAAGAGAAGCATGTAAGTTGCGGTTGTGTGTATCCACCTGTGCGTATGAGTTATTTTATTAAAGGAGTAGAATTTTTCTTAATTAGACTGCAAATGATTAATATTTCTAAATAGTTTGAGTTGTGAGTGATAATATTTGAAAACTTTTCCAATGTGAACTGAAAAGAAATCTGAGTTCCGAAAATCAATTCATATAGAACTCTTATTTATAGTGAATTATGATCGTAGTCATTTAAAGGACTTGTAAGACCACAGTGTTCCTAAGGCCAGTTTTCGTCTTTTAGTTATCAATTTACCATACCTTATACCCAAAAAAGGGAAGTTCAGCAATTAATGGTGAATATGCGAATTTGTAAGAATTTAGTGGCCAAAGTTGGGATTAATCTTGAACCAAAAATCTTTCTAAATTTTTCTAAGAGATAATTGCAGTATGAGTACGAATACCTCAACAGTGTCTTGTGATAATAAACGAATCTCATATGAATGTGGGACAAGTGTCAGAAGTGTTATTGAAATTAAGACGACAGCTTAGAAGGTTTGGAAGATGTTTTCGTATAGAATATTTACCCTTAGAAATTTGTGGATATGACCAAATGTATGCAAATTCCGATTGGCAAATTTTACAATAGGAGTAACCCATATCTATTTCTACAATTGGGTCTGAGAATATTATTGGTAAAAATAAGGGAAACGACGAGTTAGAACATTTTATAACTTTTGCAAAGACCTATAAATCGTTAATTTGCGCAAAAAGTAATATGAAGCCAACAAATGAAAAGTTCCAGCAAATAATCGGATTATTAACCCATTACAAGGACTTGTTATTTGAAATTAGTTGTTATTTCTCGGTCACAAAATACGTTGAATATAAGTGGATATTTCTTGTGATGGTGGCAGCCTTGGATGCCAATTTTTTATATTTTTTGTACATTTAGCAATAAAAATTAAACGTTCTTCAATTTTAAATATTTTCTATGCGCCTAGCTATGTTTCGACTGGCATATCATTGTTTAAATAAAATTAAAATTTTTACTGAGACGATTATTATGTGAGCCTATAAAAAATTGGGTTAACCTACCCGTTGTGAACTCGGAAATTCCAAAATGCGGCAAATTTCGTTAAAAAGTGATAAAAAACTACCAATATATAGTAGTACTCTAATTTGAAGTTCTACCTCGCATTTACCTCATATTAATACGATACAAAAAAATAAGGCCTTTAATTGACAGGGAACTTCTAACGATGGTTTTTGTAAGAAACTAATCAGAACTCAAAATTACATTGGGTAATACTCGTATAGCGGTATACCATAAAATATACCAAATCGAACGGCACTCTTACAGGGTGAGACAAAAAAACTGCAACGCCATAATTTTTACATTTTTTTTAAAAAAAAATTATTGAATGAGAGCCAAAAATGTCGGAAATAGCATCAAATTCTAGAATAAGTTTAGATTAGTTTGAATTGGTCACCTTTGGCACGAATTATGGCCTTCAAACGGCCAATGTAACCGTCGCACGCTGCCCGAATGTTGCTCTGCGGTATTTTGGCCCCTTCCCGGCGAAGCGCTTGCTTGAGGTGTTCGACACTTTGGTATTTTTTAGTACCAACCTTGCTTTCCAAAATAATCCTGACATAATAGTTCAACTGATTGGTAATCGGAAATTTTGGTGGCCATTGTGCGCTGGAAATGAGGTGAGGAGCCTTATTTTGTTCACATTTAAATGCAGGAGTGTTTTCACGATAGCCACTTGTTGTTTTCCAGCCAAATATAAAGAAATCACACTATCACGCTTGAGTTCCATCACGAATAATTTTTTTTTTTTTTGAAAATTCTCACCAAAATGCTTTTGTACGCTTGGTAAACAATATAATGAGCTGTCACTGGAATAATTTTAATAGCTGTCGGACAAGTGGCTTAGAAATGACAGCAGTCTGAAGTTGGTTGCAGTTTTTTCATCTCACCCTGTACTTTCCAAGCTCGATACTCAAATGGTTCCATTTTAGAAGTTTAATACCATTTTAGATCTTTTCGTAACCTTAAAGTGCGAATTTCCAAAAACCCCTTGATACATCTATCGTCGACTCCATCAGTGATTCGCATTCAAAATTTCTAGCTCATTCCGTCTGTATTCAATTTTGCGTACAATTTTCATTTCAATTTTCGTAGCCTTTTAATATGAATTTCCAAAAACTCTGCCTTGCCACAGGCATACGTACCAAGACAGCCCCCAGCCGTTTTGCCTGGGAGTTGATAAATCACTCAGTCAGTCATTCATTTTCTACTCTTTTATTTATATAGATTTGTCTTTTATTACATTTTCTATGTAACCTTATATATATTTGTATTTTTACCTTTTATTTATTTAAACAATAATTTCTTCTTATATTTACAGATTTATAAAGAAAACTAAAGACATTTACAAAAAAGGAACCCGGAGCGTATGTGATGTGATAATGTGAACAAAGAATTTATGAATTTTCAAATTCTCCCACTCTATTTTTATGAAACGGACCAAATTCTAGCTTTTTATAAAAACCAACAACAACAACCACAAAATTCTAAAGCAAAACCAAAACTACGTGAATTTTTAAATATTTTTATTAAATTTACGAAATATTTGTACAGCTGTAACGTATAAGTGATATTGATTCGGGTGTATTAGTGCGTATGAGTAATCGAGATTCAAAAAAAGGGACACAAAGGCGTATGATTGATTCAAGTGAAATAAAAATAATTCGAGTATACTACAAATGAAAAAAGCCTTAAAATAACAAAACGAATTTAAAAAAGAAAGAAATTATTAAATTTAAATAAAAAACAAAAACAAAAAGTAAAAAACGTCAACAACAACATAGAATGTGTGTGTATCAAGAGTCCTTGTGCCTGCCCGCCTACTAACACCAACTACCAGAGGCAAGCAACAAATGTGAATCTCTGTGTGTGTGTGTAAACGTGTGTGTATCTGTTGGGAAATGTCTATACTAAAGGACGAACGAAAGAAAGAAAAAAGTATCCCAGCTATTACGTCCTAATGCTGACGTCGTCAGTGCCAGCATAAAAAATTAATGAGAAAAAAATCCAACAAAAATAAAAAGAAAACGTGAGAAAAAGAAAAAAACCCAAAGAGAGAGAGATAATACAAACGTGTGTAACAAAATGTAAAAAACGCGATTTTTTCAAGGGAATCTTAAACAGTGCAAAGAAGAAAAAAAAACGTGCGTCCCTATAAAAATACCAAAACGCCAAGAGACCACCCGCTAATTTTGTGGAGTAATTCTGGTGAGACTCCGATTTTCCCCAGCTGACCAGCCTCAAATTCGCCGTGCTGGAGCTGCAAAGCTATAAAGCGCGCCTGAGGGTTTTTCAACCTTCCACAGGTGTTTATAACATTCAATTTTTTTCCATTTTGCAATGAATATCTGTGTGTGTGTGTGTCTATATCCATGTATCTGTACGTTTTTCGTTTATGTTTTCCGTTTTTTTCGCACATGACCTTGAAAATCGTATTACTTTTTCCTTTATTCATTTAAATTTTTGTTTTTTTGCTCACACTTCACAAGCTCAAAACATTATTCATGATTTAAAACTTTAAAAATTCGCCACCGCCTCTCTCACCATCACTTGCGTAAAAATAGTATCCCATATAAAATGCGTAATCGTTTAGCTTCCTTGATTGTGGTTAAGCAGGAGCCTAATTCGAATAATTTAGTGGCATCTCAAACAAATCTCGGCTCACAAACGCAAGGCGCCTATGGCGCAATTGGCATTTCGGGAGCAACGGAAATTCTCAACATCGGCAACAGCCAACATAATTTGTGTCACAACGAAGCCATCTCAGCGGGAGATTTGTCCACATCAACGGGGATAAATATAAAAACTGAAAATCATTTCTATGAGATCAACAACAACAATTTGCATCACAGTGATAATTATAATTACAACAACACCAGTAACACAACAACAAACACCACAAATGGTGGCAAAACCACCCTACCGCCCTCACCCATAACAGCCTCGACGACACCAACCAATTTTATCTATCCTTGCCGTAATTTATTTCCGGATGGCTGTGATATATCACATCATCATAGCCATCATCAGCAGCACCAGCAGCAGCATCAGCAACACCAGCATCAGCCGTTGAACAATAATTGCTCCAATTATTATTATAATCTCAGTGATACACCATCACCGGTCACCCCACCCTATGCCGCCACAAATGGTGATAAATTCCTATTGAAATCGGAACCCTTGCCCTACGAACACTCCGTCTTGGATGTGGTGGCTGCAGCCGCCTCGGCCACCGATAATTTGTGGTGTCTGAGTAATTTGACGTATCGCAAACAATTGGGAAGTTTTCATATCTCAGCTTCGGCATCACCGGAACATAGTTTTCAAAATAATAGCAGCAACAACAATAATAATGGCGGCAACGGGAGCAATGTAAATAGCAACAACAACAATCACTGTATGTACAAATATTTTTTGTCTAGAAAATCTTGTTTGGTGATGGGATTTTAAATTTTAAGGATATTTTAGAGATTATTTTGAATTTTAGTAGAAAAAAGATTGGAATTATTTTAGCAACAACAGACTATTTCAGGTGATTCCGTTGCAGTTTTCCATAAAATACAAGGAATTTTTAAAAAAAATTGTACCATTTTTTATTAGCTTACATTTTTCTTCGCATACAAAACAATCCATGCAACCTCCATTTAGCGCAAAAGAAATTAGGAAACATTTTCGAATTTTTTTTACGAAGATTGAGTCTAAATTATTTTTAGATTTTTACATAGATTTCAGATCTTTAGGCTGGAGTGGGCAGAGTGAATTAAGGTGAAAGTACATAAAAAGCTTTTTTGAATGGCCTAAGTCATCGGCTGGCTTCACCGTAGAGGAAAAAAGGAGTTATAGGTTGACATAGTTCAATGATGGCCCTACGCTCCTTTGTTCTTTTCCGAAGAAGCCATCCGATGACTTAGGCCAGTAAAAAAAGCTTCTTATGTACTCTGACCTTTAGTTGGCTTGACGAAATCCCTCAAAGCTAATGTGTTGTAAAAATTTGAAGAAATTTACAGCAAATTTGCCTTTAACCTTAAAATGATCTTGTTTTTTTTTAAGTTTAAGATGAGTTCTGTCATATTCTGAAATTTATACTCAAATTTCATCTCGTGAATTTGAACAAAATATAACCACGTTCTAACTATTTCTTGTAAAAAAGGACCAAAAATATGCCCTCCATTAAATTACTAATGGGTTAAAAATTTAACTTAACTTTACGCAAGTTATAGTATTTGAAATCGCCGACGACAAAGTAAAAATTAACCACGTCAAACCACTGAGATCTACTCCCACCCCCTGTAATAGCAGTTCAGTACACCAGTTCCTCAACGTATGGGTGATTTCATAAATTTCATATCACTCATACGCAGAATGTTCATACAAACGACAGGAACAAGTTGGTTGCATCAACAACTCTTACTCCCCCCTTTCTACAAAGGGACCAAAAAAGTCCCTCTTGAGAGGTATGACAATTTGTTGCCAGGGAGAATTTTTAAAATTACATCTCTAACACCTATTTAACAAACATAGAGGGGGCAATATAGGATATTCCCATATTTTCAAATCGCATTACCTTTAAATACTTTTTAACAAATTATTCAGGTTCATGACGTTTTCGACAAATTTAAGACAAAAAAATCAACACTTGGACAATTTATTTGCCAATAAAAAGTTTAATAATTCCATTAACCTGTCTTTTTTTAAATTTTTAAAATTTTGTGAGATTGGTGAGCATATATTTCTTGCGGTGGAAGGACCCGGAAGTCAATAGTCCATATCATACCCTAAGAGTGCCATAACTCAAAAAATACGTTTTTATACCCCCAGCCATATGGCGGCAGGGGGTACATATCATTTGATACGCTCAAAATAACCCCACATCGAAATAACGGTATTAGATCCTAGGCCTCTTTGGTCCGTCCGTCTGTCTGGAAGGTGTGCACTATAACACTCGAAGGGAGTTACCTATTTGATACTTTCTAACATTACAATCAAACTTAAATCGAGTTCAGAGATGCGCAATATCGGTCCATTCCTACTGGTACCTCCCCCACAAATTTTCAAAAACAGAAAGAAAAAGCATAATCTGATTTTGCTCCAATTTTGCAAATCCTAATATTAATCGCTGCACTCCTTCTGGTACCTTTCCCACAAATAGTCAAAAATTTTAATAATTATAACTCTTATAAAATTTGATATAAGAGTCCGATTGTCTTCCAAATGAATACATCACAGTTTTTTTTATTAACCAAGTTTGAATATATCGGTCCACTCCTTCTGGTATCTCCCCCACAAAGGGTCAAATATTTGAATATCCATAAAACACATAAAACACGAAATTAACATCCGATTCCATTCATACTTGGCATATCTCAATATTTCAATCAACACAAGACCTGTTATAAAGATAGAAGGCATCGGACCATTTCTACTTATACCTCCCCACAAAGGGTCAAAATTTGGAATACCCACGAAGTTCATAAAACACATTAGATCTGTTATAAAGATGATAGAGATCGGATCATTTTTACCTCCCACACAAGAAAATTAATTTATATCAACTTTGCATATTACAAATATTCCCTAATTTTTTATAATTTTTTCTTTTGATTTTTTTCGAGTTGACGCCTAAAAGGAACTTAAAATTTGGTTTTACGCTAAAGGTTTCAAAAGAAGAAATATTCTACACAAAATTTAACTGTTACTCTCAGAATAAAACTTATGTCTAGGTACATTAAGTTTTTTTTAAAAAATTACATTCGAAATTTATAATTTATATTTCATTTTTTTTGAGGAAGATATAAATGGAATATTTATTTCAGAAAAAAAAATCAATGCAAGTTTATGGACAAAAGAAATTTGTATATTCAATATGTAAGCTTTCTAATGAATGAAGCCAGTCTGAGTTGCGGAACATTCTAAGTGGGCCTAATAGACCAAGTTTGTAGAACAAAACCCCAAAGGAGTTTCGGGTTCATAGGTCAAGTGTAATTAAGAACTTTATATTGTTTGACTGTGTTCTAAGGGTCCTCTATTGTTTGAGATATATTTGAAACATAGAAACATATAGCTTTGAAATTTGATAGAGACTTTTAGAATGAAACCGCAATCACTGATAAAGAAAACGTGTCATATCTATCCACTTTTTGGAATAGCCCGATGTGAAGATAACTCCGAGTTCAAGCACTTTTTAAGTTTTGGCCATGTTTTCCATTTAATTTCGAGGAATTATGGTATTAATCGCCTAAAGTCGAATTTCCAACAGTTATTGCCTCAAAGCTAAAATAAAGTTTCCTTTTATTAAAACGTTCACATTTACATGTTACGCTATTCAATTTCTTACAAATTCATTATTTTTTATTTTGAAAATATTTGCTATTTTCCCAAAAAGGCATCTCTGAGCTGATTACATTCATCTTTTAAAAATGTATCTGCTTTAGATGACTCACATACACACACTTAAAGATTTCCTACAACGACGTCATATTGAAAAGGAAAAAGAAAACGTCATTGTCATTTCTAAATCAATACGATATTATGATGCAGGATATGAATAACAGATCCGAAATAAAATATTTTATTCATTTTGAAATTATGTTTGCATTGAGCAATGGAGGAAGGGGTGGAAGACAACAACACCTGCGTCAATGGCCTTAGTATTTGTCATAAAAATTTTGTTTATTTCCCAATTTTAACGACGTCGTTGATTTCATTTCTTCTTTGCCAAAAAATAAATCTAAGATAATAGCGTACATATTATAGTGTGATCATTTCTTGTACGGTGGGATATTAATGTGTGAGACCGATATTCCTAAAAAATCCTAAAAAAAAAAAATGATGACGTTCTGCATTTTATGTAATTCTATCAATGTTCAAACAATTCACAGAGAAAAAAATTGTTATAGCCTTTACCATAGTATGGAGGGTATATTAAGCTTGTCATTCCGTTTGCAACACCTCGAAATGTGTCCCACAAAATATATATGTTCTTGATCAGCATTAAATTCGATGTCGATTTAGCCCTGTCCGTCTGTGGAAATCACCATAGCTTCCGAACGAAATGAAGTAGATTGATAAAATTTTACTCAAATGTATATTGTATCTGCAAGACTTTTGGTATTGAAAATGGGCTATATAGGTCCACGTTTTGGTATAGCCCCATAAAATAGTACCTCCCCATATTCGGTATTTTGATGATTTTAGCGACATTATTCACCGGAATTGTTTAAAATTTGGTATTTGATGTTCGTAATGGATGCTACAGCCTATGACAGAAAATTGTGTGTGCATGTCCACGTCTTCGTGTAGCACCCATATAGCGGAACCCCCTATGATCGGTGTTTTGATGATTTTAGCGACATTATTCACCGGAATTGTTTCAAATTTGGTATTTGAAGTTTGTAATGGATACTACAGCCTATAACAGAAAATTGTCTGTGCAGGTCCACGTTTAGGTATAGCCCCATAAAATAGTATCTCCCTATATTCGGTATTTTGATGATTTTGATGATATAATGGCTACATTCGGTGTTTTTAAGATTTTAACAGAATTTTTAACGGATTTTATTTTTTTTGAAAATTGCCAAATTCCTTCCAAGTGGTGGAGGGTATTCAAAATTCGGCCTGGCTGAGTTTATAGCTCTTTTACTTGTTTTTTATTAATGCTTTTCCTAAGCGAAGGCCTATAGTCCCCTAATACTTAAATTTTCACAATTATTATGTCCATGGAACTGTCCGTTCGTAACAATTTAATAATGTAATTATTCCATAATTATAGGATAACCCCAGCAAATTATTAAAGTGGAGCTAAAAATCAGCGTTTTGAAAGTTTACATTTCAGATTTTTTGGAAATTCGTATATTTTATGTGAACCCTCAAGCGAGACACCTAGAGATTTTTTCCCTTTTCACAAAAATTGTTAAAAACTCAATTTAAAACGGATCGTACCAAAAAGGACATGCCTTCTTCTTATTTTTAATCGAAATATCTTCAATCTTTTTTGCAATTTAAAAAAAAAAACTGATCTTCGGGTACTCTCTAGATAAAATTTGCTTACAATGGCAAACGTCCTCCTCTAGCCCCCATTCACCTTTTCGGCATGCATTCTTTAAAAATATTTTGTAATAATTTTTGCATGGTGTCAAGCATGAAAGCATTCATTATCTTTTCTTGGCGTTTGATTTTTTTTTTTGCTCAAACGTCATAGGTTCTTGTTGTCGTAATGCCGCATTTTGTGTGGCACAGCCAATTCTTTTTTGTCGGCATTTGTTTGCCGATCATTTTCGGTTGTTTTTTTTTTTTTAATTTTTTGTTAAATTTAAAAATAATAACCACGTGCATTCTTTGGCGTTTTTATAGTTTTGTTGTTGTTTTTAAGCAATATTTATGGTAATTGCAAATCACGAGTGTACTTCTTCTTCACTTTTCGATATGAGCCAATATTTTTAAAAATAGTTTTA